ATTCTTGTAAAAATTCTACAAAGCTGGTACCGTGATTCTAAGAAGTTACATAAAGATGAATAAGACTTAAAACATATTTTTGTTGTTTGTTTTTTGCTCTTGCTCCGAAAGTTGACCCTGAGGATGGTTGGCGGTTGCTCTGGTGCCGTTTGCCCTTCCTTTCCTATCAAACGTCTATCATCCCTGTCAACTTTTTTTATGTTTGTTACTCTCTGGTAACACCTCTAAATCTTTGGAACGTATATGACCTTGTTGTGTTGCAAGGGTTGTGAAACTCTTACTTATACTAAAGTTGACCATGTATGTGTCATACAGAAAGGGAATCGGTTGTCTGTGTGGCCTGCTAGACCTTGATTAGAGTAATTTGTTTTGACCAGTTACAAACGAATTTCTAACAAGTTAAGGAATTGTAGCAGTTAACTGGCATTGGCTGTACGATGCTGCTTGTAGATACTTTTTTTTCTTATGCTGCTATTCTTTCTGCTTGTCCTTTATATGCCGGTCTATTTGCCATTTCCTTGCTCTGTCTGACCTTATGTTCATCACACTCCTTTCTCACTACCCTGGACACATACCTGCTCTGTCTACACATGAGTCAATCAGCTGTAGTGTTACTTAGACTTGAACACTTGACAGACAAAAAAAACCCTGATGGCACATACTTCATGGGACCAGAGAATTTCTTTGTGTTAATTAAGCTGTCCCCGCAGTTTTATGCACACAATAAATGAAATTATGCAAACTTACCCCAAAAATGTGAAGTTATGCGATTTTCTTAATTTTAACAATTTAAGGAAAATAATCAGAAATTATGCAAAAAATGATTAAATTTTGCTAAATTATGCGGGGTGCATAAAACATCATTTACAGATTAAGTAAATTTCATGTTCAGCAGAGTGCCAATGAAAAGAACAAAAAAGGGAAGGTACTCCTTTCTCACTGTTTGTTAGCTTGTTTCAAGATGCTGAGCCTCCTATTATCTGCTTTGTTATTAATATTGCTAACCTTTGGAAATTGAAAATCCATTTTCAACCTCAGGTGGATGCTTTGACTGCACAGAATAATATTCAAGGGAGGCTGTAGCTAAAGCATGGAATTATTGGAATTGATAGATCATAGCTGCACATTATTTAGACAGAAAGTTTGCTAAAATTGGGTCGCTCCCAACTAAACTGGGACAGTTAGGCAACTTCCCTGTGTCTCATCTCCTTACTTATTCTGCAAAACAAAAATCACTCCCTCACAATCATTCTGCTGCTCACAGGAAGTGGGAAAGAAATCTGGATAATGAGGAGGGTGGAGGGGTGTCTCCTCAGACTAGGAATGCATGTTGTGTGGCGTGTTTTGACAACAGTAAGCTAGTGTGAGTGTGGGCAATACGGCTGTACCCCGGTAGCAAACCCGCTCGTGCTCGCAAGCCCCTAGTTCAAGTCACAAACCTCAAATCACTAGGTCAAATCATCAAATCAAATCACCAGCATGATAAGTTGAGTCTAGCGCAAACTGTAACCTCCTTGGTCTAGTCTAAACTTCAAGTCCACAGCAACTAGCAATCCGCGAAGCCACTCCTGTCAGGCCCCCTCATCATCCCCACCCTGCTTGCAATCGGCGAAGCCACTTACGTCAGAAAAAGAGAGAGGGGGAGAGTGAGAGATTCCGCCCACAGAGTCACTGCGCGGCGTGTGGCGCTGTAGTTTACTCGATTAATCGAAGGCCTGCGCAAAGCAGCGGACACTCCTCAAGCCTCAAGTCTCAAATCCCGTCCGCAGCCACAAGCCCCACAATTCACACAGTACTGCTTTGCGCTAGACCTAGAGAATTGTCCCAGGACAAGCTCTAAACCTGACCTGCTGACTTGTACTGTCTCGATACACCGAGCGAGCGGCATATCGCAGGACCGCTCGATGTGTTCAAACAGCAGTACTGCTCGCTGTGTGAACTTTGAACCGTGGAGGAAGGGAGAGGCTGGGCTTGTTTTGTTGCAAGGCGTAGAGAGCCGAAGTTATTTTTAACTTCCTACCGTTGATCAGCTAAGCGAATGGATAAGTGAGAGGGAGTGTGGTATTGTAGTAATAGAGACCTAGGTTTCTGGTAGTAATAAGAATAAGTTGACTTAGATTACCCTAAAATGGAAAACTCCAGGGGTCGTTGTGACTGGCTTTTGTATCGTATGTAACCTATTTTGTAGATGTGTTGCACTCACAGTGACATAATACAGAACATTTAGGAGACGGGCTAGGCCTACTTCAACCCAATGTCAGGGCCAACCTGGGCTGAAAGGGAACGCCCCAGCAGAAAGATGGAGGTTCTCAGTAAACATTTCTCCCCATACGGTAATCGAACTGAGGTCTTTTGCGTGCGACGATGAAGCGCTTGGCTCGTGCACATTAAAAATAAACAGGCCTTAACATCGTAAGAATAGCCGATCCAATATTGATTTTTAAGTGCATTGAATAGAGCTTTTTGTTTTTTACAACCGAACTATGAAAAAAAAACGATCTTGCACTTTTGGTGCAAGCCTCTCAACGCAAATAACCAGAGAATCTTCTGTAATATATACTGAGCCCACAGCCATGAGAGTTCGCGACGTCACGACACAGTACAGCAGGACTGTCCGCGAGTCACAACTCACCGGAAGTTCCCTCCGGTAGCAAGCGGGAGGCAAATCAAATTACAAGCCTGCTCGCAAGCCTCTAGCGCAAGCCGTCCGCTGCTTTGCAAGCCTTCGATTAACCGAGCAGAATCCAGCCCTAGTGGGCAAACAAAAAAGGAGAGGGGGAAAGTCGTCAGGAGGAACTATGAAATGGGTCTAAAATTCCTTCATGTAAACAAAGAATTTGTAAATTTTGTTGTAAAGTCATGCACAAAAAAAGCATAATTCTTCATAATAAAACAGAACCAGACTTTGTGCTGTTGTGGCTAGAGAGGTAAGCAGAGTAAGCCTGATTCCTCGTTTGGACTTCTCTGTTGACATCCACCCCTTGGCGCTCATATGACCTTAGGCAGTTGTGAGCGCCGTAAAACCTTACTAAGACTAAACTAAAATACCTAGTATTGATTAAGGCAGGAACTGGAGTATTGCTTAAAAACTACACTTCTTTTCATTTCAGTGACAGAAATTTGGGAGATATCTATATCATCAGCCAGCTGTTCAAAAGCACAGTGCCAAAAATTTTGATAAACAATTGGTTACAGCAGTTTCTTAATCTATAGTATTGGTAGCTTGTGCTCAAGAAATATTTAGTCAAATTTCAAATGCTGAATTTTAAAAGGGCTTAAAAGTAAAAGATTCATGAATTATGTTCAACTGTTAAAGGGATGAAACAGGGTTTTTTTTCACTCTTTCTACACTACTGTAATCTCTCAATAGATAGAAGAAGGCTGTCTGAAGTTTGTTGTCTGCAATTCAATAGAGAGTACAAGAAGTTAAAGCATTTCTTGTAGCAGATTAATAAAAACAGAAAATGTAATCATTAATCACATTGTGACTTTATTATCTATAAAACAACATCAGTATTGAGAAGTGATTGGACGGATCATATTTCAAGCACAGTCATAGAAATAAGGTACAAAATAATATATACATCTCAATGTGGAATGTGTATGAGGAAGGAAAGGTCTGGTCCTTACATTGTACTCTTGATTCTCAATCACATATCCTGCAAAGATTGCCCACTCTGTGTCATCTTCAACCTTACAAATCAACCCAATCCATCCATTCTTTTAAAAAAACAATTGCATGAAAAAAAATGCACACTAGCACATGCAAGGATTTGGGGAGGGAAATATGCAGGAAAGAAAAGACAGTGACAGCAAAGGTGAGTTTAGAGTTAGGAGAACTAGAAAAACAAGGCACCAAATTCTTGAAATGTAAATTTCTTGTTCACTTTTGTCTGACCTCGTTGAAAAATTTCTAGCTCATTGAGTTATTTACCTTATGCCCACAAAACTTTGCATGTCACTTCTGCAGGCCAGCGAGCAAACAAAAATATTTGTTTTAAAAATCTTCACTCAGTAATAAAATAGTTTTTCTCTTTGGGCCCTATATTAAAAACAGCTGTTTGGATGCAAACACAGGATTATTAAAATAAATGATTACGGGTAGCCTTGCCTACAAACTGCTCATTTTGAGACAGTGACACCACTCTGCCCCAACATAATTTCAGTGTAAGTTTAGTTTGTAGATTTCATCCCCCTACTCTCTAGACGTCTCAACATTCTACATGTGGTCTCGAAAAATACTCACCCCGTCTCTTGAATCCTTTTTCTTAGGCGAACATTAAAGAGTGGTGTTGAGGAAAATAGGTCAACTTTAAATGTTTTAGGTGTATGCTATAAATCCCCTATTATTTTTTAAACCCGCTATAGGCTTACATCAAGTAAAACATGTTGGAAGCTTAATTTGCAGGGACTTTTATGAATGGCCTTTTAGATTCTGTTGGTCGCTAAACTTTTAGACCGGCATGCAAAGAAACAGAAAAATTAAACAGCGATTTGTTTTTATCCTGTTTTAACTGCGGTCAGACGAAAGTGAATGAGCTGTAGTTTGAATGTAAAGCTACAGGACTGAGCTTACATATCAAAAAGGGAAGAACTCGTCTAACAGTACTAAACACAGACACACAATTCTATCCAAGTCGGGCTCTTGGGATACAGGAGAGGAATCAAATCCAAGTTCAAAAATACATTAGATCTGTTCTCAACTTCTGCTGCTCCTTTAAGTGGAATGGATGGGGCAGTAAGTGTAAGAAATATTAGTAGTGATCATTCAGATTCAGGGCCAACACAAAATACTCATGAATCGATATCACTCCATTGACACACAAATACCCCTCCCACATCTCAACCCAACCAAACAAGAAGAGCAGGCAGTTTACAGTAATGAAGACTGTGGGATTCCAATTATTATCTTGTGAAGGTTATTACTTCGCTTTGGTCAAATTTAAGTCCAACAACATAAATTACAATATATATATATATATATATTATATATATATATATATATTTATATAACACCTTTACTTCAAATAAAACAGGGCAAGTTGCAATGTCATGACGCTTCACAACACTACTCCATTAACTACAATAACTATAATGAATGCATTATCATACCAATACCCTTAACACACGGCACAAGTATAAGATAGATAACTTTGCACACAAAATTGAAAGAGACATTTCTTTCTATGCAAAATTTATACAAAAATAGAGATATTCTCCTCTTTATTACCTTAAATCTCAAGGTAGCTTTGCAACTGTTATTTTTAGCAACAAAGACACCATTATTCTGAGGAAGTGAATGGGTTTAAAATAGTGGAGATTATTTTGCTTCTTTGACCCAAAACAAAATTTTCCTATCACAGTCACAGAAATAAAAGTTTCATCACTGGCGTCCCTCAGACCACAACGATGCTTTCACTGACAGGCATGCTGACCACTCCAGTGATGATCGGAACTGATTTGCCAGGCTTCAGAACATAGACCTGGCAAAGGAAAAAGAAAGTTTTCATACTGAGCTTGAACTTGAATGCATTACAGCAGCAGTTGCAGCATAATATAATAACATGGGAAGGTCATAATTCAAGAAAGGTTTCACACTGAGGATGAATCCATTACAACATTAGCCACATTATGCAGGTTATAATTCAAGTGGCAGAAAGACGACCAGCTCTAGCTCAAAAGCAATTCTACTAAAAAGAAGTAGGAGGAGTAGTCCACACAAGAGTGCTCACAAGCCAATGACAAGCTTTCAGTTCAGATAGCCCAACTTTAGTGATCTTTGAACAAAGGAACACCTTATAAGACACCCATCATTCACAGTATTGCACTTTGCTGAAGGGCACAAGTTCAAAAGCTGTTAGACAAGCAAGACAAGTAGCCTACAAAGAAATTACAATCTATTTAGGCATGGTTTTAAGTGGCAATTATTTCAAATAGCATTATATATATATATATCATAATTACTTATTTATTTTAAGGGGATTCTTTATGGCTTTCACTTGGGGGGAAAAAGACAGACAAACCTTCAATAAGCTGAAATTGTGAGAAGAAAAAAAGTAGTGATGTTATGACTAATATAATTACCAAACCTATAAATATGGCCTTTTTCTCATGGGTCCACTGTAAACCACAGTTTTTTTCTGTACAGTTAAATAGAACCACACCCAGATATATACAGTTAAATCTGTATAAGATAGCCATCTACTATCACGGAGAAAAGTGGCCATCAAAGACAACTGATCCATTTTTTAACCTCCTCTAATTTTTTGTCAATAAAAATGCTTCATTTATAGCAAAATCCAAATTGCCAAGTGTCTGAATATACAAAAATCCATCAAGTAGAGGCGGAAGAGAGTCACAGATAAAATCAAATAAGTTTGAATGTACAGTGAAGGATCAAACAACAAAAGTTGTAACCTATACAACTCTGCCTCAGTCAATTAAAACACACCAGAGTGACCGCAGATTTATTGGCAGCGAGCAGATTGAAATGAGGATGAATGTGATGACAGACACAGAAAAGATAAGATAATAATCAGTGATCAAGTGAGATGCTGCAATGGCGATCACCTCCACATTCACACAGCCTACCTAAGCCCTACTTTTTTATATGTTGCTTGCAGTGGAAGAGATCTTAGGATTATCCCATTTCCCCAATGAGCCTAATGGATATTAATATTAACAAAAAGCTCCTTATCTCTTAATTAGCTCTAATCTGTCTGGCATCGAAAGCCATGGTTAACTCAAACTAAATTCTGAAGTATTCCTTCCAACTGGTGCACTTACCTTCACATTTTCAGTGACACCCTTGTCATTCAAGCAATCTACAAAAGTCTCAAAGTCATAGGTCAGGCCAGGAACCAGCATGGGGACCTGTAGAGCACAGAGGTAAAGAATATTAATAAATCTTCATATTTTCAACGTAACAATGAAGCACCTTAGCTGTAAAATTCATGACCTGTTTATATTCTATGATATATTGTAAGTCATCTGAACAAAAAACATTTTCATAGGTCCAGCTCACACGTGCATCCAATACAAAAAGTTCTAAGGTTCTTGTAGCAAAATTAGAAATATTTCAGAGGAACATACAACAAATAAATAGCAGTAGATCTACACGTCTGTTTTGAGTAAAAATGTTTACTTTGAGGTGAATGTACGTGAACATTTTGAAAACAATAACAAATAGTTACGGAGCTGTTAGCACTCGCACGCATACAAAGTGCTTATTCTTTATCTGAGAAGAAATTCCCTTGTTGATCTAAAAGACAGCCTGAAAACCAAAAAAATATTTTCGAAGCTCACCTGTACAAGTTTTTTGCGGAAGTCGTAGAGCTTATCATCATAGTCAAAAGTGATGAGGAGATTGGAGCATGCTTGAGTCAGAGAGGTGTTCTGCAGCTTGACAGTGAACTTGAAAGTGGGACCAATTCCCTGAACCTAAGGACGACAGATGAATAGGCCTACTTCATTATAATATAAATTAAAGTTGTTCCCGCATCCGATCCGTACATAGGGGATTGCCTTGTTAGCGAGGTAACTTCCTGAGCCTTCAACATATTGTGGTAGGGTTCATAACCATATGTGAGGCATTGTGGCGAAATCAGGTGCTCGTCAAAATAATGAAATAGAAGAAAATGGCATTTTCCAACCAGTTTGGCAATTTTATGGAAATTTTTTTTTTTGGCTAAACACCTTTTATGTTCATATGAAAACACATTTCTACATGGATTTTAATGAAAAACATTATTTAAAGGCACAAAATATGTAATTTTCAGTCCAAACTTTGGTGGCCATTTTCCCATTAATTTTACCAGTGAAACCAGGCTACCCCACCCTCTTCAATCGTAAATATCTCAACTTCTATTCAAGCTACAGTGATATTTTTTTCATTGAAAGCAAGGCAACTGAATAAGCTTTCCGATGCTGTCAATAACTCCACATGCCCAAAAATTGACGAGCGCCTGATTCCATCATGTCGTGACACTTATATTGAAGGTAAAATCCCACTAATTGCTATAGTTCAACAAAGAAGTCCATGTAAAAAAAACGAAACGCTGATAAAAATAAAAAGAAGAAACAGACCACATCACAGTACCCCTCAACCTCCTGCAAGCTATTTATAACAAAAAGCCTGGATGAGTGTAAAAAAAGCAACAGTATGTTTTACTGACATGGATTCAGCACTCAAAGTTACAGATTAGTTCTCAGCCTTGGTAGAAAGAAGCACATTAACTCACTTCAGACGGGTCACACAACAGTTGCGTGACCCCCGCCGCGACGCTCGCGACGGGTCACACGAGCCCTGCGTGACCAACTTTGGAATTTTTTTTTCGCTCTACAAATCACGCACGGATCGCGAGACCCGCCTCGTACCCTTGTTTGGCCAAGCCTGAGCTACTTAGACTTCGTTTCGTATCTCTGGGGCCGGTAGTTTTTAAGTTATTGAAGGTGAAGGACAGTGACCCCAACTGGGGTTGAACAGACCGGAACTCGCGCTTTGTTTTTTTCGATACAGCTCATAGTAATCCGACAGTCGCGTCGTAGTAACGGTCGAAGAAGTCGCATGAACCAGAATCACATAATTTCGCCGTTTTCTATACTTCTGTACGTTTTACTAGTTTTAGTGTCTCAGAATATGATGTGTCTAATAGTTAGGATCCTGGATATGTACCTGAACACGGTCCGAGTCGTAGTTTTAATGCTAGATCTAGCACTAGTACCGGTGTTGTTTTTCGCGCAACGAAATCACAACGCCGTGCCGTACATCTGTCTATGTATTTTCAGTGTATGGGTCTGAATCAATGCACAGACCAGCTTTTATATATTCACCAAACACTCGCACATGTATACAAATCAAACCAGAACACTTTGAACTTTTATTTTTGTTGTTGTAGTGAATTTCATTCCACTTGTCACGTCTCTGGAAATTTTTTGGAAAATCAAATTCATGCCAATTTTTAAAAAATCATACAAATTAAAGTATTAAAGTTAGACAACTTTGGTTTTTTGTATTAGATTAAGTTTGAGTGTTACTTTACTGTGTCAAAAAATAATTACAATAGGGTAATTCTGAGAGTTGTTGTGATTTATTGAAATACCCCCAAAAACGCCAGTCTTCAACGCTTGTGACTGGTGAAAGGGCCCAGTCGCAAGTGAGTTAAACACAATAATGGTCATTAATTTCCAGGAATAAAGCCAGACTGAAAGAAATAAAAGAGGGGCACAAGAGCAGTAGGACCTACTGGTGGTTGCCCTCAAGTTTCATTTTCTTTAAAAAGGTGTTGATGTCATGCAAAGAAGTAGAAGCCAAAACAGCACCTAGACATGGATGGCTAGTGCCTTTATAAATAAGTGCCCTGGTGTAAGAAAGTTAGCAAATCCAATAAAAGTCCAGCCTTTTGTCAAACTAGATCCACAGTCAGGAAATTAATAGTTTAATCACATGCTCAATATTAAATACTGTCCACATGATAAGAGTTAGGATACAAGAAATTTCATTTTAATCATGAGCAAGAAAAACCCATCCTTCTATCTTTGTAGAAGTTGACAATGGCTTGGACAATAAAATAAACAATATTCTGGACATGTGTATACAATACCACATAATCATCCAAAGCGAACAAAACTTTCAAAAGGACAAATTCTATTACTGGTTATCAGAGGGCCTGCAGCTCATTGCCTTGATTTGAAAGAAAGTAAAAACTTGTAATCAAATATATGCCACTTATCATTCCAACATCTACATTCCCCTACTAGGATGAATTGTATATTACAGCATGCACTAAAAAAATTTAATTCCATCTTTTTGGACAATAAATATCCCTCGTTCCCTCCAATAAAAATATCAGTCAAACTATCAGTCAGAGGTAAAAGACCTAGGCTTCTGATCTGTAACAAAGAAATATACAGAAGGTCATTTTTACCATCATCCATCAGAATAATGTTGAGTTACAATCAGAATTCTGAGTATGTACTTAGCATAACATTATTATTGTTTATATTACTGTTCATTTATATCATGCATGAGACTGTAAGCCCGTGTGTGTGTGTGTGTGAGTGTGTGCGCAAGTGTATATGAGTGCGCGTGTGTGTATGTGTGAACATTGTGAAACACGAAACCAATGTGCCAGGACCTGGACAATAAAAATGTATCTTTTCTTATCTTATCAAATAGATCTCAACACACAAACTGAGTACAAACACCCTGACATCCTGCACAGAAAAATAGTTTGGAGCACTTGACAGGCTGCCACACTACATGTATATGTCCTCTGTGAGACTGATAAAAAAAACCTGGAACGAGTTAACTGGTCAAGTCTAAAAAAGAATCCACTTTATTGTGCAGTTGTGTGAGTTTGCCCCTAGAGAGCTAACAAGATCATAAACTATCAATGTAAGAATTTAGTCACAATATCCCTCTACACTTACATGGGCGGACAGCTTGATTGGCTCCATAGGGTCCGAGGAGATAGGGTTCATGCTGTTGTCAAGTGCCTTCACGTACTCTCTCATTACTTTGAGCCGTAACAGGGCCAGGTCGCGCTGAAATGTCCGGTGCATGGCTGGAAGATGAGATGTGTAAAATGAACTTTCTAACATCTATGGTAAATTGTTCTTGGAATCACAAAATTACAGGCTTAAGTACAAAGACAGCTACACCATTCCCTGCAGTCAGGATTATTGAAAACAAGAAGGATGATTTTCAAGTGAATACTTGTTCTTGTTTCAGGAAGCAACATCCCTGCACTCCGGACATGTCCATTGACAGGGCTGCCTACCTCAAAATTCCCATTTCAGGTAGATTCAGGGTCATTTTCAGGTAGATTGGCCCAAAATCAGGTAGTACAAAGACAAAGAAGGAAAAAAAGATGATCATGGCCCCACCGAACACGCTTCCTTTCCGTGATACATGTATTGGGTAATTATATTTTGAAAACTTGTTTGTGCATGCACATGTGTGTGTGTGTGTGCATGTTGCCATGCTCTCGCATGTGTCTATATATGTAATATGTGCGTTGGGAAGGAAAGGGGTGTATGGGTGTGCACAAGTTATGAAGAACAGTGTGTATGAAATGAGGCGAGGCTGGTTTTTAAAAAAAATCATTTTATGGACTATCGTTCAAGGCACCTATCATTCAGTATTGAATCTGGAATTGAGTGCAGGGTGATTGCCAAACTGACTTCAAAACCGCTAGCCCATACAAATAGAAACTAAATTAAAACATAATTTTCCCGACACTAGCATAGGACACCGACAGGTCCTGTGTGACTTAGGTATGACAGACAATTAAATTTAACTAGTTTTACCCTAAAAATACAAAATGAATTCTGATCTGGGCCTGAGGAGAGGCCAGAAGAACATCAACTGCCAAAACCATGTTTGGTTTCAGCAATCACGGATTTTAAAAAATATGCAAGACAAAACTTATTTATAAAACCTTTATAGTTAGGCTCCCGGCAGAGCAAAAAATGAAAATAAAAGAGAGTGTGTACCGATATAGCCGGAGCTGGAAGGACTGTGAGAGTGTGGGATGTAGTGATGCAACAAGCCATCATGATGTATAGGCATCCAACATAGAGCTTTCCGAGGGTTGAAAATGGTATTTACTCATTGGCACTATTCAATTTGTCATCACTGACAAATCCGGGAACACTAACCTTGAAGATATAATCATCAAGCCTGTGCTCTAATGTTCCCTCATTTACGCACTCGATTGTCGAATGTCAAAACCACGTCCACTTATCGTTTTTATTTTAGCATCAGTTCTTGCACCGTGGCCTTTTCCTGCTGCCGTAGACTGTATAGCATCAAACACCTCCCCTCAATTCCGACGCCCTGCAACGCTCCTACTTTGAATGAACTTTGATAAGGCTTTCCCCAACAACTACCGGTCGGTCCCTTGCTCATGCTGTACTCACGAACTCTCACAGGTTCATTGACCGGTCACGATGACGGGCCCAACAATCTAGAAATTGGAGGACGCTTGTTTTCTTTTTCTTATTCTTTTTTGTCATTATAGTGACATCAGTGAGAATATCGATTTAATGTTTATGGCTACACTATGTTTTTTAGGCACAAACTGCAGGTTACAGATTTTTATTAACTAAATCTAACGTCAACGAACTATCATCCAACAATTCTGAGCGGTAACGAAAGCGAAAGTAGATTTTGATTTTCCCAATGGAGTCTCAGTATTACACCTACACTTCTGATTGCCGCCATAGCCGCTCATTCACGCGAAACGTACTCTCGGACTGGGGAAAGCCGAACGTAATATCACAAACGCGACCAGTAAAATATGAACTCAGAAGGCTTTTCAGATTTGGTTTCGGGGACTTTGTGCATTTTCTCGGGTCCCGGGTAATAAATTCCCGCAGTCCCCCTGCGTAGAATCCTTATTTGGTATTGACCAATTTTCTAGACCAAGACAGATTTTAGAATGTTTTGCTTCGATACCGATTTTCCTTCTAAATTCCCAATTCTGTTTTCTGGATAAATGAATTAAATGCACAGATTTTCCAGCCGCAGCAAAAAACTGAAGATAGAAAGAAAGAATGAATGAAAAGAAGGAGGAAGATTATCTATCGTGAGTAGACAGATTTCGGCCGATATGCACGTGAAAAACTATTGCCGACCGAACGGCAAAGATAGACTCGTAGACGAGTGTACGAACTGCGCAATCTGGCAGTTTCTAAGACAACTTATTGCCGAGAGCTGCTGTAAATATCTGACAAGTTACGGAGGCAAGTGCTGATCTCTCTCTCTCTCTCAACGCATGGAGTTGATATGATGATGCGGCAAGTACAGAACTTTAGGAATGTACGGATTTCCGTAAAAACAAAGAAGAATGGAAGCACTGCAGAATGTTTTTTTTCTTTTTATTCTCTTGGCCCCCACCGAAAATC